AAAGAGAGCATTATTTAATAAGATGTGCTGGAGTTTTATTTACATTCATGGCCCACACTGGGACCCAGTAGAAAGACACGGCAACCTTTTCTCAGTTGTAACGTTGAAATTACACTGGGCCACCACGGGTGGTCCAGTTGGGCCCACTGAAACAGAAAGAAACCCAATCAAAACCATCCAATGCTTATCACGCAATCGAAAAATTCAATCCCTGACGTGTCAATCACCACGTGTCACACGATGCGTTGGATCCCACGAGTCTCTCCCGTTTATAAAGGCTCTGGGTACCCAGCCGCCCCCCTAAAAAGAAGAAAACCTGCCTCTCAGAACACAAACAGCGGCTTCTTCTTCTTCGACCTTTTCATACTCTCTTTCTCCACTCTGGTTTTTGCTTCCTCCATGGCCGGATTCGAGCACCAGGTGAAGGAGCGAGCCAAGGAGCTCAAGGTCCTGTTCAAGAAAGGCGTCAAGATCGTCGGCGATTCTTGCAAGAAAGGATGGCACAAGGTGAAGAACATCAGACGTTGATGGAGTGCGAATACGATCATCTTCGTCGTCTCCATCGGGTTTGATCTCAATCGGAACTTTGAAATCCTAGTTTAATTTCTTTAGCGGTTATTCCTCTGGTTTTAGGCTTTCCAAGTGTGACGATGTAAAGATCTGCTTCAGTGTTGTTTTGATATGGTTGATCTGTTTTTCTAGTTTTGAATATAAATTTTGAAAGGATTTGGCTTTGGTTTTTTTTTTTGTTAGTACTGTATTGATGGTTTGATCTTTGATTTTTGTTTAAATCATGGTTTAATCTGATATGATCTTTATTGGTTTGATCCTCTTTTGCTTCTTTTTTTATTTTCTTAAGTTATATAATAAAAATAAAATTAACTCTCTTATATCCTTTAATCGACCTTTATCTATATGCCATGATGCTCGAGTTAAGAGTCTTTTGCTTTGATGGGAGGAAAAAGCTTGACGTTCTATTTCTTTATTAATGAAACAGTATGTGGAATTGTCTTGTGAGTTTCAGTAAATTGCCATTTCTACATCAAATTCTAATGTTAAGAAAAAAGAAAATTTCAGATGAATGAGTTTTACCATATGAAATTATAGTGAGAGAATGATTGTATACCCATTAATTTTATGGCAAATTAGATAAAATAATTAATATATATCTTTTATTTTGATTACAATCAAAGCAATTATTTTTTATTTTTTATCTTTTTTATCTTATAAGATTTGAATTTAAAATTTTTTATTTTAAATAAAATGAGATAATTATTGAATTTAGTTTATTAATAAATAAAATAATTATTATGTTTGTTCTATTTTACATCATTTGGAATTTTCTTTTTTCTAATTTAAAATATAATGCTTTAGTTTCAAGACAATCTTGAGAAATATTGTTTCAAAAAAATTGGACTACATGGACTTGGCCACTAAAAATGGAATTCTAACTACCTCTCACTTGATTTTAGTTGATGGGTAAATCAAAAAAATATTCTGACTACCTAATCAACTGACGTGGAGGGACAATGACATTGGAACCACCTGTTATTTTATTTTTAGCTATCAGCTGTTTGTGGGCTCACTTGCCCACACAGATAATTTATTTCGGATCAATTGATTTATGAAAAATTATATTTTTATTGGCTTAAATTATTTTTTGTATATCTCTGAAAAAAAAAAATTATCTGTATAAAATGCTTCTGTCTGGAAAAAAAAAAAAAACAATTGTTATATGTATGAAATGCTTTCATTATTCCAAGTGATATTTTCATTCTTAAATTGTATAATCATAAACAATTTTTGTATTGATTTCGAAAGCCTCTTTTTCTCTTTCTTTTTTTTTTTTCTTTTCTTAATTCGCTTGCTATTATAATGTGTTTGATTTGAAAGAATCCTGCATCCCTCTTTCTAAAATTTTTTTTGTTAATTAAACAAAAAAAATTTTTATCTTTTATTCTCTATTTTTTTTCTTAAATTAAACATATTATTAATGTTCAAACTTTTGATATCCACGTCTCTTGAAATCTTAAATTTTTACCGAGTTACCTTCAAACAAAATCTTTTTCTTTATTGTTTGTGAAGTTGGGGTGATGGTAACCGATCAAATTGCAGTAAATATTTGCATTTTTTACATCCATAAAACCAAAAGAATAGTTCTACTTAAAAATAAAAAAGATGGGTTTGAATTTCCCACCTTTCTTAACAACATAAAAACAAAATGAACATTGGCAAATGTGTGTTAATTAGTTTTCGAATTTATTTGAACGGCTTGAAAACATTAGGATTAGATTATATTAACCAAATGAACCGCCCATAACTCCCAAGCTCTAAAACTCGGGCTTCCACAAAGATTGGAAGAGGCTACAATACCCAACCCTTTTAGAACTGAAAGAGGAACAGCCACAAAGTGCACAATATCATTAGGATAATATTAAAAGAATTACAATGTATTTATACTTAATTTTTACACATGTTATTTATATAAAATTTAAAATATTTATTTTTTTTATGAATTATGGAGATGTATCATAATTTTTTAAATAAAAAAGATAAAAAGTTAATAAATCTTAATTATTTATAATGGAGACATGAATGATTAAGATTTATTTTGATTTTTGAAATTAAAAAAAAACAACTATCTTTAAAAAATAGGAGCAAAAAGAAAAAAAATCAATATCTTTAGAAAAATAAAAAGTTGAAAAGGAATAAAGAAAAGGAAAATAAAAGCATACATTTTTTCCAATTCTGTTTTTTCTTTTTCTTTTTCTTTTTTAATTCAAATTATATTGAATTGCAAAACAAAAATTATTAGATGAGAAAAAATTCCTAATATTAGCAATTCCCCCTTCAAATTGTTTGAATTGTACAATTTAGTTTAGATTACTCAACACATTTTTTTTTTTTTTGTATTTTTTTAAATTAAAAGAGAAAACACATAAGTGATAAATTTCTCATGAAAAATAAAAGCCAGACTGGTTTCATTTTCCTTCCCAGTCTGAAGATGTGGTTGGGATATCCAAACCTATGCATGCCACATCTTTCATTCAAGGCCTTGGGTTCTAATTCCATTTCAATTGCTTGTTTACAGGAGAAGGTGTCGTCCCTAAAATTGCTACAATTCTACAGAGAGGAAAAGTCGACTGAACCATGCTATTGATCTTAGCTTTTATTGCAACATCTAGATTGTAGCGTTAACAAAGGTCTGTAACCTGTTGTACAGACCATTAATCCATTGAGTAGAAATTATGCTATGAGGATAACCCTGTTTTATATTGCAATGTACATACCAGTTGAAATTTGTCAACTTTTGTCTACATGTTATAGACCGAGTTTGAAAAGGTCAAATCTTTGATGATTCCATCATACATGATTGAGTTGTGAAAACTTCTTGGTAGGTATCCTACATCCAACTGAATTCTTTCAATTTAAAGAATCTCTTCCTAATTACTCTAGAACAATTAAGAGATTCTCTACTAGAACAATTCAAAGATTCTCTAGAAAAAATACGATAGGATGACAATGGTGATTCCACTTATAGGATCAGAAAATTGTTCCTCAATTTAAAGAATCTCTTTCTTGTTGTTCTAGAACAAATCATAAATTATCTAGAAGAAATACTATTTAAGAAGAAAGATTAATGGAATATCAATATCAATCTCATCCGTCTCAATCCAATTTTTTTGTCGAGAAATACAAGACATTTAAATCATACAAGTAAAGAGATCTATTCATCGATAAAAAAATAGAAATAACGTGAGCCGTGATTGAATTGATGACAATCAAATCGAAGCCTGCATCATAGACAGGGAGTTTTGATGTTAGATTGAGTTACATGTCCATGCTTCTCTGGTTTTGTCTGACTGACATATGTCGAATTATCGATTCTTCTCTAGTTTTACTGAGAGATAATTGTATGTCATGATTTTTGAGGCATGGATGTGCAAACTTGTTCTTTCAACCCCTCCCAATGTAATAGAATTATCAACCTTCCGAATAACAGGCCAGCCAGTTGAAAATTGTTGGTAAATTTCTTTACAAATTATATGTTCATATCTACTGGCAATTTCATCCAGTTGATGATTATCTGTACAAAATCTCAGTTGGCAAAGCCGGTATACCTTGCATGAAAAACTAATACAAACTTTATATCATATATATAATAGGGATTAATACTTATCCACCTTACCTCCAAAAAATTAAGAGAAAAAATGACAAAAAAACATCATAATTCATGCTTTAAAAATAAGATGTTTTGGTTTTTTTCAATAAATATTTATTAAAATGATGTAATTTTGAAATAATATTCTTCTTAATTTTTAGGAGGTTAGGCGGATAAGTACTATTCCCTATACAATATATGTTCTATATATAAGAAATGATGCATACACCCTACAATTAGGCTTGGCAAACAAGCGGGTTGGGTTGGATTCGCGTTTGGTCAACTTGGGTGACGGGTTATAAGAGTTGAATCATAAACAGGTTGCAGGTTGAAAAGTCCAACTCTAACATGACCCTAGCGAGTTACGAGTTAACTCATGAGTTGACTTTATTTTCGTTTTTTATAATTATTTTATTAATTTTGTTATATACAAATAAAATTATATATATCTAAATCTAATTTAAGTATTGTAACTTGTTAATACTAAATACTTTATAGTCTTAACCACAAATATTTAAATTAAAAAAATCATAAAGTTATAAATAATAGTAAGTTGATTAATAATATTAAACTTAAAATATTTAAATTTCTTGGAAAATAAAATTTAATTTTACAATAATATTGAAACATTATCAAGGAGGTTAAGCCCTTTTTTATGATGAAATTGCTCTTCCAAGAGCATCTTTAACTAAATTATTATGTTTATATTCTAGCATCACATCTTTAATATTTTTAGTTGCATTATCATTTAATTCATGATACTTGATAATTAGATCAAGCCCATATAATTTCTAAAGAAAAAAGAAGAAATTATATCATTTCTAAAGAAAGAAGAAGAAATTATGATGAGTAAACACTCAAAATAAGTTCAAAACCATTTGAGTAATGGAAATGAGGTTGAAGAGTATGAATTAATGAAGAGAGTTACTAACAAGAAAATTAATTAAGAATAATAAGTATAATATTTTTAAAAATAATAATAAAAAATAAAACAAATTGATCAACTTGTTAACCCACAAGTTGGCCTTAACCCGACTCGCGACCCATACAGGTTAATATTACAGGTTACCTATGAGTTGTGGGTTGGGATAAATAGACCCTAACTTGTTTTTTACGGGTTGGGTTAGGGTCGGGTTAATGAGTTGAGTGAATTTTTGCCACCCCTACCTGCAATACACACTGATGATCTCCATTACTTAATCCATTTTGCACTTCCTTTGTAACTCCCCAAATGCACCTAGTCCTTTCTTTCTCTCTCTCCTTTCCTTTTCCCCTCTCATTGTTCTGGCCTTAGACACACAAAACAAGTCTACTTTTGGGATGATATAACAAAAACTAGAGTTCATGTAAGTGGAGCCAATTAGTAGAAAAGAGAAAAGACCAGTTAATGTGCTAGACTCTATTACAGTTATTCCCCTGTCCATAACAGACCAGTTTACAGATAGTCCCTTCTGGCATGGTTCAACAACTGGCGACTTTACAGTAAGCTCTGCTTTTGCAATGCAACAATCGCAGCGTATGGCCTCGACAGCTAGCGTACAATGGCGCTGGATTTGGAACCTTCGGTGCACAGAGAGAGTAAAGTTCTTTATTTGGTTACTGCGCAGGGGTCGAGTTCTCACAAATTCCGTGCGGTTTGATAGGCATATAGCTTCTTCCCCTATGTGTCCTCGTTGTGAACAAGCTACTGAGACTCCCATCCATCTCTTACGTGATTGTTATTACTCAAGATTGGTGTGGGAAGTTTCTGATTATCTACCCTCTGATTTCTTTCATCTGGATTTTGATAGCTGGTTGTTTAAAAACTCAGTTCATTCTCATTCTTTGGGTAGTTCACAAAGCACCTGGGCAAGTTTGTTTCCGGTAGTTCTCTGGTCTCTTTGGAAAAGCAGAAATAAATTAGTCTTTGATGGAAAATGGATTGCCCCACAAACTGTATTCCAGCAGGCTAAATCTCTTGCTTTCGAGACAGTCTTGGTCTTAAATTCATCTGTATTATCACCTCTTCCTCGTGAGCATCGATGGGTGCGATGGTTGCCTCCTGATCCTCCTTTTCTAAAATTGAATACTGATGGCTCAAGGTCGCATCAATCTAGAAGAGCATGTGCAGGGGGCCTGATTCGTGATCATCAAGGTCATTGGATACATGGATTTACTGTAAATATAGGTGCTACCTCCAGTTTCATTGCTGAGCTTTGGGGCTGTCGCGAAGGTTTAAGGCTAGCTCTTTCACTTGGAATACAACATTTAATCCTTGAAATGGATTCTTTAATGGCTGTACAGTTGATACAAGCAAGAAAGATTGGGAATGGATCTTTTTCTGTCCTACTGGCTGATATTCTAGTGTTGTCAGATGCCTTTACTGATTGCCTGGTTCAACACACACTTCGCGAAGGAAATGCTGCTGCAGATTATATGGCTGCTTTGGGTCATAATTCTACCCCGGGTATCACGATATTTCAAGATCCACCAGTTGGGATCAGTATGATCATGCATGGTGATTGTGTTGGGGCTTCATTCCTCAGAGTTTAAACTTTAATTTAGTTTCCCATGTATCAAAAAAAAAATAATAATAAAAGTAATTAAGGTCACATGATAAAATTGTCAAATAAAATTGTCAAAGTAATACGACATAAAGAATGACTAATTTGTTGTTTTTGTTCAATAAAGTTAAATGAAAAAGTTATTAATGAGTGATATGACACAAAGTATATGCTGTGATTAATTTTTTTTGAACAAAATTACAAATATGGGGAGGAGAAAATCGAATTCCCACCTTCAAATTGAGGATGCACCTTACAAGTCGACCTATAATTATTGGATCGTCAGGTCCAGATGCTATGCCGTGATTAATTTGATAGAGCTAGGTACATTGTATCTCATTTTCGCCTCGCAATAAAAGTAATTAAGGTCACATAATAAAATTGTCAAAGTAATTCGACATAAAAAATGACTAATTTGTTGCTTTTGTTCAATAAAATTAAATGAAAAAGTTATTAATGAGTGATATGGCACAAAGTATATGCCGTGATTAATTTGATAGGGCTAGGTACATTGTATCTCATTTTCGCCTCCGCAATAAAAGTAATTAAGGTCACATAATAAAATTGTCAAAGTAATACGACATAAAGAATGACTAATTTGTTGCTTTTGTTCAATAAAATTAAATGAAAAAGTTATTAATGAGTGATATGACACAAAGTATATGCCGTGATTAATTTGATAGGGCTAAGTACAATGTATCTCATTTCGCCTCCGCAATAAAAGTAATTAAGGTCACATAATAAAATTGTCAAAGTAATACGATATAAAAAATGATTAATTTATTGTTTTTTTTTTTTTGAACTGAGTTTACAAGGGCTGGGTTCGAACCCCAGCCCTGGGGAGGGGGAAATGCACCATGGTGGCTATTGCCACTTGGCCCAAAGGACTCGGTGCGATTAATTTATTGTTTTTGTTCAAAAAGTTAAATGAAAAAGTTATTAATAAGTGATATGACACAAAGTATATGCCGTGATTAATTTGATAGGGTTCGGTACATTGTATCTCATTTCGCCTCCGCAATAAAAGTAATTAAGGTCACATAATAAAATTGTCAAAGTAATACGACATAAAGAATGGTTAATTTGTTGTTTTTGTTTAATAAAGTTAAATGAAAAAGTTATTAATGAGTGCTATGACACAAAGTATATGCCATGATTAATTTGATAAGGCTAGTTACATTGTATCTCATTTCGCCTCTGCAATAAAAGTAATTAAGGTCACATGATAAAATTGTCAAAGTAATACAACATAAAGAATGGCTAATTTGTTGTTTTTTTTTTTTTTTA